TGATTCGCTTGACACGATCATATTTTGGCACGTTTTGGCCTCTGATTGGCTGGAGGTTTTGCTGTCATGAAAGATCGGTTAAGATTCAGTTGCTTCATTACAACTGGTCATTCTTAGGTTAGATTTACAATTGTTACCAGACCATCTAAATTGTAGTCCATTAAATATAGATGCTACTTTGGAACAAACTAAATAATTTAACAACTGTTACTCCCTTAGCTTATAATGCTATACAATCGAGATTTTTATAATTGCTTTTATCTGTGAATTTTCTACCTCCTGTGCTTTTTGGGTTTTTTTTTTTTTTGGTCTTACTCATTAACTCTTTAGGATTTGAAGCATTTCTTGCAGAGCAGGTATGCAGTAGATCATTAGGATTGCATTCTCAGTTGACATCCTTTCCCTTCTCTCCCTTCAATACCTTGCAAATCTCATCACTAGCTTGTAAAATTTCTGCTGCAAAGTCTCAGGTGAATTGGGATACCCTCTAGAGTGTGCTCGTTTTTTTTCTTCTCTTGTAGACCTTCAAGTCTTTTTTATCTTCAATATCTAACAGTCTTCTTATAAGGTATCTTGGATGGTCTGGGTTGGGTTAAATTGATTGGTGAACTTTTACCTTACTATTTATATCTTTCTCTAGGTGCTGGATGTTTTCTGTTTTCTGTTTTTTTTTCCTCTGAATGAACTTTCTACATTTTTTTTTTTTTTTTTTTGGGTCCAGTCATGGGGGCTGAACTCTGGGCCTGGGTGCTGTCCCAGTGCTCTACCACTTGAGCCACAGCGTCACTTCCGGCTTTTTTTCTCTTTTTTTCTGATGTGGTGCTGAGGAATCGAATCCAGGGCCTCAGGCATGCAAGGCAAGCGCTCTACCACTGAGCCACCTTCCCAGCCCCTACATTTTTGATATTCTCAAGTCTTTGAACCTTGATGACTTGAATGTTTATTCTTCTAATACTGCCACAGAGATCCTGTGAGCTCTTTATCTTCCTTCCCCATTCTTCTAATTGTGCAATTAAAGTACATTGTTATTAAGCTCAACAATTCTCTGTTCTGCTGAAGCTCTCTTATGACTCACTTTTTTCATTTTGCTAAGAATATTTTTCAGCCCAAGAATTTCTGTTTGACCCATTGCAGCAATGATACTCACAGGCACTATATTGGAAATGAACTTTACAACTTTGGGGTGAGGGGAATGGAGGAATGGGGGGAGTGGGGAAGGGAAGAAATAATAAGAGAAAAACAATGGAGGGGGTAACCATGCTCAACAAGAAGTGTACCCATTACCTTACACCTCACTGTAACCCCTCTATACAGTATCTTTACAATAAAATAAGATTTAAAAGAAGAATTTCTGTTTGACTTTGAAAGATTGTCAATTTGTTTTAAAAAGTTTCTTTTTTTAAAAAAAGTATTGAAACATTTGTGTTTTGTTAAACTTGAATTTCCTTAAAGCTGTTGTTTTCCATACTGATTGTTGCTGGATCAGTTTTAGCATGAGGTGATATCGTTTCCAGATAGTTCTTCATACTTGTTGACCTGTGATACTGATGGCTATTGAAGGACTAGGTATTTAGTCCAGTCTTTCTAATCTGGTTTGTTTAGTCCTGGTTTCAGGAAATTCTCTGGACATTGCTTATTTTTTCTGAGACCTTAGTCATTTCCCCTGTTTTAGTACTGGATGGTACATCTATCCATATCTGCCATTTTTTTTTACATACTGTCATGTTTTCAGTAACAGTGGGCAACCAACCAGGGTTTATTCTAAATAGACTATTGATGTATTTATTGTTCAGAAGAAAATAGGAGAGTACCTATATAAAGTTTGTCTTCACAAGCCTCTCTCTGGGGTAGAACCAGATGTTTCACAAACACCAGCCTATGGTCAGATGCTGCAGCATTCCTATCAGTTCTGTGTGGTCACTATGGATAGACCAGTCCCTGGATTCTTTGTCCTATCTGTGGCCACCAATGCAACTAACATGTCACACCTTGAACCCATCATCCACCAAGACTAGTATGACACTTGGATAGGATCAAGACCAGTGCTGTGAATAGTGGTCACTCCTGAGGTGGTCTCATGGCCTAACACTACTGCAGCAAGCTACAATGATAGATAATAGCTGGAACAGAAGCCAGTCAACTGGGGCTACATATCTTCTCCTGACACTGGACCTCTTTCAGAGATTCCAGTCTGGTTGAGCAATGGAAGCTATTGGGATCTATCTGGTATTCAGTTGTACCAACCTAGCACCAAGTTCCAGTGCAAAGTCTTGTGCCTACTACTATATCCTACTGCCAGTGAATAGAGTTTTGCATCATGATATAAAGCTGAAATAATATTAGTGAGAACTGTCCCTTTGTAGGAAAAGCTGAGTGTCTCACAGCTGCAAGAACCTGAAAAGTCACAGGAGTACATGGAGGCCCATGCCACAACTGATGGTGATGCAGACAAAGATAGAAGTCCATATCTCAGGGACACTGGCCAATGTCTGATGTCAGGACTCTTTTGGAATCTCATCCGTGAACACTTGCTTGGTGATAGCTGTGCTATGGTTGGGGGGTAAGATTGAGTGGTAGAACAGTCCCTGGCCAAAGTTTGGTATTAATCTGGGTCATACCTGAGTTTCACACCCTTCTTAACCTGTCTGGTTTCAGGAGGAGGGTGGGTATGCTCCATGTTTGCTCCAAGGCTAGAGCAGATGCAACAGAAACACAGGTCTGTCCCAACCTCTGCTTCAAGCCAGGCTGGCCTAAAGACACCATCAGTAAGCTCTGACCATAGTACAGAGCTTTCAGTTTCTATCAGGTATTACGATTGAGCCAAGTATACCTATGACTTTACTCTAAGACTAAGTGCTTGCCTTCTTGTCATGCTACCCAGCATGCTGATTCTTTCTACCCAAACTTAGAGAAATAGAGATAGTTAGCTGCCTTCCCTACACAGATACAGTGACTGTGTCCATGGGTATTAGCCTGGAGGTAGGGTGGGCCTTTGTTCAGCACTGAGTTTCCAGTTTAGGGCTTGGACTTATATCTTGTCTGCCTCTAGTTGTAGGTATGTATCACTTTTCTGGGCTGCCTAGTGTGACATAGACAACTCTTTGCTTTTTGCCTTCAACGTGTCTTTCCACTTACATATACTAAAATCAGGCAGAATGGGCTCACATCTGATCGCCTTAGCTCTTAGGAAGATTTATTTAGGTATGAATGCTTTTTATTTGTGCTGTCTGTATGGAGAGATCCCTGGAGAATTTTGCTGAGATGCCATTACACTCTGTCTTTTCCAATTATAATTTTTTGAAATTCTTTTATGACAATTTTAGAAGTATTCCCTTAACAGTTTAAACATGAATAACATTAAGTAAAAGAGCCCTAGACTGGTTATTACCTAGTGATATTTAGTATTATTTCTACTAAAATATTAAATAACATTTTCTGCTTGTGAGTAGATATGTAAAGAATTAAGTGTCTACCCAAGTAACCAATCTGCAAGATTAATTCTGTCTAATTAGGCAGACAGGAGGAAAAGACTATGTGCTTATTCAGTATAAGGACTTTCAAAGTAATGTTTGAATAAAGGATTGCTTCATTTTATCATAATTTCCATGGCAATAAGCCTTCCCTATGGTGATGACTAACAGATGTCCTTGTATGTACCTGAACTCATTAGGTTAACTTACAGCTAGTTGTTGGTCTCACAGAAGACATTGCTATTGGACAAAGCGACATTCACCTAAAACCTTCTTGATCTGATTACTCAGTGAGTACATTTCCTTCTCCTATATTTGTTTCTGAGGTGATCACTCATTCCTAGTCAGATCAGTTAGGTCAACAAGAATGTTTTCCTCTCAGGTGTTTTGGTTGTGATAACAAGAAAATAAAAATCTTCCATTTGGCATGTGGTGCTATAATTCTGATCCTTCAAGGCACCACAAAGAGGAGCATAAAACAGACAGGAAAACAGTAGAAACTAGATGAAAAAAGATGTCCAAGTCTTCAAGTCATCCCCAGAGCCCTGAATATACATGTTTCTAAAGATGATTATGTTTTCCTGCTCTTTTAGTATGAGTCCATTCTCAGATTTTCTTTGTTGTTTGTTTGTGAGCTGATAAAACATCTTTCTTGGCTGGAAAGGTGGCTCAGTGGTAGAGTGCTTGCCTCCCATGCATGAGACCCTGGGTTCGATTCCTCAGCACCACATAAGCAGAAAAAAGCCAGAAGTGGTGCTGTTGATCAAGTGGTAGGGCTCTAGCCTTGAGCTGAAGAGCTGAGGAACAATGCTCAGGCCCAGAGTTCAGGCCTCAAGACTGACAAAAATAAATAAATAATAAATAAACATCTTTCTTATCCAGACCAAATTCAAGCAGACTTTCTGTCACTTACAGTTAAGAGGCCTACCTTGATGACACTGTGTGTGGTTTCTTGCACAGTATTTGTCAAGTATAACTTCATCATTCCTTCCATATCTCTTTTCCTCCACACTGTAGTCTCTATGCAAATAGCATCAGATTGTAAATTGTTCCAGTCACTTTCATAGCACCTAGAATAATTCTGATTTATTAGTACTCAGTAATATTGAATGATTGAATACATAATATAAGTCAACTACTTTTTCAACTATGTCCTCAAAGGTTTTAGTAACAACACCATGAAGCTATTTTTAGTGTGCGTGTGCTCTTTCAAAGAGGTGTTTCAAGGTGCATATATTGCAATGTGCTGCATCTTCCACAAAATTGGGCAGTATTTATAATTTCTAACATGAAGGAAACTAATGCCTATTTCTTTGCTATTTGAATTCAGGCAAATTGTTTCTCTGAGCCGTGGTTTGCTTATGAGTGGAAAATGCTTACCTCAAAGTAGGCACTTGCAAATAACATGCTCTTGGTAAACAGATTTACTACCAGTACAAAAGAAACTAACTAGATACATAGGAGGGAAGAGGGAACACTCAATAGGTTCAAAAGCTATGTGCTTGAGTGGACAAAAGCATAGGCCAGGGCTGCATAACACTGACATTTTTATTAGAATTCATTTGTAACAAATGGAACTTGTGTCAGCAAAGAACTGATTTTCATACAGACTTCTTTCGCCACCAATGTAACGAAGTAAGAAAATAAAAAGCACGCCTTTCATTCTGTAAAACATTTACGCGTACTACTAATTAGAGGTAATTGTATTTTTTTAACAAGCCATTTTACAAGTTATTTTTTTAAGTTTTCAGTCTATGCATCCAAAACGAGAGCAAAGAACACAACTGTTTTTATCTTTGTAAAGACACTCCAAGCTTGGATGGCAAAGCCACATAACGGATGGATAGGATGGACCTGTAGCCTTCTGATCTCTGCTGGAGTATCAGGGCACCCATAAACCCAAATGAAACAATAATCCAAAAAGAAAAACCAAACAAGAAGAAAACACTTAAGAAGAAGGACTGAAAAACCAAAAAGAAACAGGACAGGAAAAATATGAGCACAGATGCACATCTTTTCTCTGTGCATCACTGCACATAGTTTTTCTCTTTCCTGTTTCTGTGTTGTGTTATTTACATACACATAAATGAATTTCTGAAGCAGTTTCTTACAGATGGGTTCAAGTAATAACATTATTGGGTGTAGAATCAATAGGGCAGTGCATAGTACAAAGGTAGAGAAAGTGCAAAGTTCCCTAGAGGCCCTTCCCTCCCCTGGCTGTCCTTGCCATTGTCTAACCATGCAAATAATTTTTAAAAAAGAGCTAAAATAAAGTTCTGTACAAATCACTTTTTATATATTTTGATTTTTTTTACCATTGTAACTAATTACAAAATTATACATAACTACACATACATAGGTAAATAATAGCACCGTACTGGTTATGAGGATGAACATAACTGGAAACTTGAAAGTCGATGAGAATGTTAGATAAAGATGTTTACCAGGGAAATTAAAACCTTGGATGGTTATACAGAAAAGTTACAGAGTGGAATGCACATCAATGACAGTAAGGGAGTTAGTTCTAGAAACAGCTCTTGAACAGTCAGATTTCTGGAATAGTCTCCGCCTCATTCATCTATGGTGTGTATCCCATTCATGAACATCTTTCCCTCATTCTTTCTGCCATGGGGGCAGGCTTGGTTTTTGTTGTTGTTGCTTTTCAGGGAGACAAATTGCTCATGGGCCAATTGTTCTGGTGTGCGATACTGCATCATTTCCCCATGTGCAGCATGGCGTGTGTGGATGATGTGATGTCTGACACCCCCCCCCCCCTTGTTTCACTAAAGGAAAGTTACAGCACTGAGTAATCTGGCACTTGGATAAATCTTCAAAAGATAACAACCTAAAAGAAAACAACAACAGACCCACATAGTGCACATTCTTCTCTGGTTCTGATGAAGGTTAGAGAGTCTCATTCTGAGGTAGCCTTCTAGATACTATTTTTTTTTTTAAGTATTATACATATATATAGTTTTTTCTTTTTTCTTTTATTTATTTTTTTCTACAAAAGTGCTCAAATACGATGCTTGCAAGTGTTTGGTCTCTTGGATTTCACTCTGCCAGTTGATGGGTTAAAAAAAAAAAAAAAGTGAAAACAAACATCCATTCATTCAGCACATCCTGGAAGCTAAAACCTAACCCAAATGGAACTATATTGAAACTCTTTTATTGGTCTTAAGATTTTTCTGAGGTTTCCCTAAAGTTATGGAATCTATGGCCAACTAATGCCACCACCCACAGCTTCCTAGAAAAATACTGTTGGAAGATTTGGGGGAGGTCTATAATATTTATTTCCCTTTCAGAAAAATTCCAGCTACTTGTGGACTATCCAGTACATCCCAAAGTCACCAGTGATGCTTGTTACTAAAGTACGTTTGGTGCAGTTACTGCATGTTCCAGAACTGATTTGGAAAGGATTATAAATAAATCAATAGATTTTTTCTTTTCCTGATGTTGAGAGATTAGGAACAGAAGGGCCCTGATTATCCAAGTGCTTTGGGCTGGTACATTTGCTAACATCCCCGACTTGGTTGAAAACTAGGAATGCATATTATTCAAAGAGTTTTTGTACATGTGGTAAACAGATAATGCTTTAATTCAAAGAGTAACAGATACGAACACTAATGGAAATACGAACCAAAAGCTAAAAAAGAAAGTCTATTAAAATAGGCATCAATTATAAGGCACTCTAAATGCAAAACTAAAACTAAAACAAAACAAAGTACAGCACTTCCCAGGAATGCTGTATGCCACAAAATGCTTCTGACTGAAGGAAGTAACATGAGTTTGGCTTTGCCCCTGTTACATATCATAAATGCAAATTTCATAGCACATACTATAGACAATATACGATTGAATACAATTTTTTTTAAAAAAACAACTTGATAGCTGATATATTACAACATTCTCCCCTCCCAAAGGGATTTGCACTGACCTTTTTCCACATGCACACCTCGTAGATATTTAATAATCTTTATTGCACTAGAGTGTTAGTAATATTGAACTTCATTGGAAGCCTGGCTAACAAAATGGTATTTGTGAATATGTTGGGGTCGGTGGGGTGGGGGGGGGGGGCGGATCTTGGGTATAACAATAGGGGGTGAGGTTTGACCATCATTGATGTGCATTCCTCATTTCCCTTCAAAAATAAAAGTTGTGATATTAAGAAATACCAATATGTTGTAAAATTAAGAAGCAACTGAAAAAAGATGTTTACATTGGCTTTTCTACCCTTCAGAAAACTAAATCATGGAAGAACTGAATGATAGCTAACTCTGTCTTTGTATGGATACTATACATACATAGACATCCTTATGTAAATATGGATATATATGTATATATGTAAGTAGCAACTTTATACTTTGCGCTTCCCTGTTGATTCCAAAACCACAACAAAACTTGGCTTTGATTATTTGAAGAGAATAGGCAATTGCTCATCGGTTAGAACTAAACAGAAGTCTAAAAAGTAACAGTTGCTGAATCTGAGACTGTAGATTAAGAGTATTGCACAAAAATGTGCAAATTTTCAAATTCTTTGATATTTCTACAGGATATTACAGGTAACAGTTCTACAGCTTAAAAAAAAACTCCCTACAATTTGGAAATAAAAAAATGAAGAGTTATGTAACTCATTTTAAAATTCACTTTATCGAATGATACATTTTGTTAAAAAAAAAAAGTTTACACAGTTAGAAATGAAACACAGGTCAGCAGTATCTTTACAATACTAGAAAACTAAATCAAGGACTTTCTTTTTTTTTTTTTAAACATTCCCCACCCTGACCCCTAAAATGTAATTATGAGCAGTATGGTGGGAAGGGCAATGGAGAAGCAGAGTCGATCTTACTGTAAGAAGCCACACCAGCGAACCCCTGTATGAACTGAAACTCGCTGGCCAATCTCTCTTTGTATCTTATCAAGCAATCCTGAACAGGATGATGGTTCTTTGCTGTGAGTTCTTCTGTTATTTTGAATCCTTGAGGTATCTGTAAATAAAATCCTCCAGATTCCTCGTAAGTCAGGATTCTCCTTATTTTTTTTTTTTTTTCAGGTTAGATTATTAAACTGTGAATGCTTGGTCCAGTTGGAGGAGTTTGTTTTAAATTTGTTTTGTGTGTAATAGTTCCACTAAGTGGTTGTTAGCTAGAAGTTAAGAAGGACTTCTCAAATGCCCTGTATGGCTCAGAAGAGACTCCGTGGATATTGAAGGGCCTGTAGTAAAAATCCAGAAAGGGTCAGGGGTTTCTATGTTGCATAGTGATCAAAGCTGCCCAGGTATTCAAGTGCGGCTCGATAGCAGAACTGGTACTGATCCTGCAGGAGACAGAGCATGGAGACAAGAGGACAGAGTACTGTGAGTAGATCATAATAGAAAAAGAAAAAAAAAAGCATTACAAATATAGGAGAAGAAAATCATTACTTTCTTTAATCAATTCAACCCAATGACCAATCAGTGAGGGTACAAAAAAAAAAACACAATTAGCCACATGGGGTGTTTATTAACTTCACCAATCAATTTGACTAAATATAGTCTCCTAACTCCAAGTAGTGCAAGCTTCAGTGAAGATTATCTTCCAGACAAAGATGCACTGTTTGCCAAGTAGTAACAACCAGTTACCACCCCGCCACTGAGCATACTAATTGCTTAGGTGCTAGGGTCATCTTTTATGTTTGTGATAACTGTTTCTCAGTTTGCAAACTGAGAAAATCTAACATTAAAAAAATGGGGTTTGGGTATAGTGATGCATGCCTGTAATCCTAGCTACTGGGGAAGATATGTAGAATTGTACTTTGAGAACAGCCTTGGGCCAGAAACATATGACCATATCTGAAGAATAACTAAAATGGACTGGCTCAAGTAGTAGAATGCCTGACTAGCAAGCACGTAGGCAGAGAGTCCCAATCTCAAGACTGGCCAAACAAAACATCAACTACTGTTTGAAGGATAGAGATGAGGGGAAAACAGAATGCTGGAGGGTGGAAAATGATGAAATATGCAGCATCTATGAATGAAACACAAAACTCCCTGAAAATGATGATAGGGAGAAGCAGGAATGAATTACTTGATCCAACGAAAATGCTGTATATGTATGTGTACCAATACCACTGTGGAAACCCTTTGGACAATTATTATACATTTGAACTAAAGAAAGACAAAAATATAAAACAGGTCCTTTCCAGGGAAAGGACACGAGAGGGCGGCTGGGAAACAGAGAGGGCGATGGAGGTTGAATATGGTGCAAAATTCTTCCTGTACATGTATGAAAATGGAACAATGAAGCCTGTTGAGATTGGTGAGAGGAGGGTTGAGTTTGATTAGGACTCTTGAATATATTACATGCATAGATGGACATATTAGGATGAAATCCCTTTCTACAACAAAAATGCAAATAAAAAATTTTGCGGGGGGGGATAAATGCAAATTGTCCTGAAGGAAATCTGGATTTATGTTTTCTGTGTTACTGCCACCTGAACTAGAAGAACAAAACAATTTAAAAAAAAAAAACCTTCAAATTCTGATGCGATGATCCTTACTGTTTGCAGTACAAGTTATTCTCTATCATTTCTGATAGAAGCAGTCCAAAGGCAGCTGGTGAGGAGCACCAAGCATACAAACCCTTGGGCATAGGGCTTGGAACTTCGAAGCTTTTCATTTCTGAAAATGGCATCAAAAGGTTGACTGCCCACATAAAAATATACCTGTGCCATTTGGCCTAATTCAGTGTGATTGCAAGTTGTCTGTTCTAGAAAGGCCCACACCAGACTTCAGCAGCATGATATGTGCTCTTTTTCCGACAAGGAAGAACACTGTTATGACAGAATTAGTTGGAGCATTGTTGGGGAGAAGGAAAAATTACAATTTACAGATGACTTTAAGGAGGAGAAAAAGTAAGATTTTCCCCATAAAAGAAACATCTTTAGTAGCCAATGCGGCTGAAAGTAGATAGCTTCTATTTTGCTTAAATGTGCATTTTTCCACAATAAAAATGGTAATGTGAAATAAATGGTGTTTGCTTCCCCATCTGGTCACAATGAGTTGCTTGGCTAAGGGTAAAAGATTTTTAAATGTTCAATTTCCCTTTGTCACCTCCTCTCTTCCAAATACCTGTGAAGTTTGTCAGGTTAACATAATCTTGTGAGTATTGCAGGCCAAACACATACTATTTTTAAATCCAAGTCTAGAAGATATTGTGAGTGCTTAATTAAAGAACACATATAAATTGTAGGATCTGATGGCTGCTTGAGGAAACTAAACACTGTCACTTAATACTATACTTCAAATTTATCAATAAACCAGATTGTCTAAATCTTGGACTCATTCTGAGAAATTACAATATCAATTAGTAGAATGGACAATGGTAGGGTACTTTCTCTCAATTTATTCGGGATCCAAATATTTAAAATAGGTGATCAAGAAATGAAATATAAAACAGTTGATGCTTCTGTAGGCATACAGAAAGAGAATGTGTGAATACTATGTGCCAAATATGCTTTTTAAATACTTGTTTACAAAAGTATATTTTATATACTTGCATATAAAATGGTATACTATCAATATTAATGCACATGTAATAAAATATGTGAATCTGCCATTTAACAGGTCAAACGGGGGTAACAAAGTATGATTCAATCTAATGCAGAATAACACATAATCACCACAAGCCTAAAGATGCTGATAATGTCATCCCATATAAAGAGAGGCAAATGAGATTAAAATAAATTAAACAATCTCCTACTTTTACCACAGTATTTTGCATCTAGTATTGTGTGTTCTTGGTCCCTCTGCTGAAATCTAGGCTCATGAGATGACAAACAACATGGAGATTTTTCTCACCTCTGTCTGCACCATGGCTGGTCGTTGTGTTCTTAACATTTTGACAGTTTGGAAGATGTCTACAACTCCTTCATATCTCATTCTTTCCAAAACAATGCTCAGTGTTATGAAGACACCAGTTCTTCCAACGCCCGCACTGCCAAATAATAATGAGATTGCTCATAGTTTTGATCCATTGGATTGGAGTTACATATGCTTTCACCAGCTTTTCCTTCCAAAGTTTCTCCACAGCACTATCAAGTTAATGTGGAACTGAGTTCACCACCTGATTCCCTCTTGGGAGAGTGTGTTGTGAGAACATATGAGAATAAATAATTAGGATTCAGTCTAACATAATGCAATGACTTTCCAAAATGGTACAGAAACCTACTTGGGATAAAAATAAATGGCTAAAAGTGTGAGTTAATAAGTATGGGTGAAAATCCTATAAGTGGAGATCCTGAAACTGGTCCTTGCCTATGCTGGAAGCAAGAAATAATTCAGAGTAAGGTGGGACAAAATGGGCCTGCTTAACTCTTGTAATGCGTTAGTCACTTGGTAATTAGTCTGTGTAGGGGGTTTTGTCACTTAAACCCTCATGGAAGTATGTAACAAGGCAAATATTTAGTTAAAATACTGATGCAGGTTTAGATAAATAAAATTCAGGAGTGGGGGTAGGGGAGGGAGAAATTGGGGAGGTGGGGAGGAAAGGGATAGTAGGGGAAAAATAAAGGAGGTGGTAACACCCAGTCCCAAAGAAATTTAGGTTCCATGGGTTCCCTTATTTGCAATAATTAGCATCCATATAGGATAATCTTATCAGAGGAGCTGAAAAGCTCAAAAACCGTGTACAAATAACCATAGAAGTTGATGCTAAGTGAAATGAACGCCAAAATATGAACATGAGAGGTCTGTCTTTAATGTTATTGGTTTAAGTGTACTATGTGATTTTATTATTTTTTTGTTGTTGTTTTCTTTGTATGTTCTTTCCCCTATGGCATATACCATTGTCACTGTACTCAATTTTGATATTCTGCATCTTGTATATACATATGTCTAATCTGGAGAGAGGAAGGGGAACAACAAAACACTGAAACAAGGACACAGGATGACCCATTGCAATGAAGATACCTACTGGACAATATATTGGAAATGAACTTTACCACTTTGGGCAGTGAGGGGGGCAGGGAGAAAGGAGTGTGGGAGCTGGGGGAGGGAAGGGATAGTGGGCAACAAGGAAGGGAAGGGGTAACAATGATCAACAATGTACTCATTGCCTTAGTCAGGTAACTGTAACCCCTGCGTACAGCATTTTCACAATAAAATAAAAATTTAAACAAAGAGGGGGTAACAATGCTCATTAAGAAATGGACACATTACCTTGCTCATGTAACTATAACCCCTCTGTACAGTATCTTTACAATAATATATATATATATATATATAAATTTATATATAAAAAAGTAAAATTCTACACAATGTGATTTTTTATATAAGAGGATTTTTACTTAGTGTTCAGGAAGGTCTGTGAATATCCTGTACTTATAGATTGTGAAAATGCCCTATTTTGCTTCATTTCACAAGGCTCATAACTTTCGACGGGTTCTGAATCTTTAATCTACAAAACAGCAACCTTTAGTCTAAAAAAACCGAGCCACTGATTTGTGCATTTATCTGTTGGTTGGCCAACAGGTAAAACTCCAATTGTCTTTGTACCACATTTACAAGGTTTTGGGTTTCTCTCAGTTGTCTTTACTATTTTAAGATAATTCCAGAAACTTCACAGCAGTAAGAAAGAAAATTAATTCATAGCTCTTGTACACTCAAGTAGGAAGCATCTGGAGGTTTAGGTAATGAGAAAAACAGTGCATAATCTGAAAAATCCCTACATTTTTGGATCCTAATTAAATGGCATGTGCAACGCTTGGGCACAGGCTGTAGAAAATGGATGGAGTCATTTACTTGGTGATGTAGCTGACAGGCATATATAAATAGTGTGTCCTTTTATAAACCTCAATTTCTAAGAGTTTAAGGAGAAATATTAAGTGAGGCTTTGAAACCCAAGGGTACTCCTTAATAAAACAGCTGAACTCCAATGAAAGCCAAAGTTTCTGATAAGGTGGAGAGGATGACCTTAAAAGTCCTTTTAACCTTGAAAGTCTTCTGGTCTTGAAAGACTGTGATTTACAACTTTTTTTGTTGAATGGGCTAAGCACTCCAGAATCTCACTTTGATTGATCATTCAAATGTAACCAACAAAGTGTTTTTGGCTTTCTATTAAGTACTTTCAAGTAAAGAACAGGCATTGGCCTAGTAACTTCTGCATTTAACTGTCCCATATTATGATATAAATAAGATAAATAAATATGATTAATATAAATATAACTAAGATAAATAAGTTACAATATAAATATTTTCAGGACTTTCCTACAGAAAACACCTAGAAGTATTCAAGATATGTTTATGATATATGAATGCTATCTCAGCATTTATAGTAAAGACAGTTCAAGTCATTTTGTGATGACAAAATGATGACAATACAATAGAAAATAACAATACATCTGCTTATAGGACTTTCTAAACACAGGGTGCTTAAAATATATTTTTCCTTATAGGTCATATTGAAACGGCTTAAATAAGCACTTGGGGATACTATGTGCAAAATTCAAAGAAACATCAGTATTTCTAGCTCAGTACAAAATATCCAGTTTCTGAATATTTCAGTCCATGTGTCACTTCCTACAGACTCTGGTTGTAATTTTGTGTGTGTGTGTGTGTGTGTGGTTGTGGGGTTTGACGTCTGGGCCTGGGCACTGTGCCTTAGCTCTTCAGCTCAAGGCTAGCGCTCTACCACTTGAACCACGTTATCACTTCCGGTTTTCTAAGTGGTTTATTGGAGATAAGAGTCTCACAGACTTTCCTGCCCAGGATGACTTTAAACCCCAATTCTCAAATCTCAGCCCTCAGATTACCTAGGATTATAGGCATGAGCCACTGATGCCTGGTTGCACAAAAATTATTAATAGTACAAAACAAATGTATTTTTCATATAATATATCATTACTGAGAATCTTAGGGATCAGAGGGAAAAAAGGTAAAGCCTAGAGAAATTTTCCTATTCTCATAGTGTTATACAATAGAAGAATTAGGACAAGAACACGTCTTGAAGTTCAACTTTTATATTTGTTTTATTTGTGATCATGAATTCCATGTATCACTAAGTACTATAGTGTGGTTTTTAAAAATGAAACCCTGAAGCAAAATACATCTTTTCTTTCACATCATTTTGAAGATTTTGACCATAAAAATATGTAGACACTAAGATTTCAGTCTCCTAGAATTCAGAAATATACTAGTTTAAATAAATTACTTGTATACTTTTCATTACAGTTTTTTTTACAGTGATTTCTAAAGCACTAAAGTTATATGGAATGACTAAACCATTTACTTAGTATTTCTATTAAGTTCATTGAGTTAAATTATAAAATGCTGTAGAAACTGTTGAAAATAATTAAATTGAAGGTGCTTCATTTTCTGGCATAGCAACAATTTTCAAGCAAATTGCATTTTTAACTGAGGTACCATTCTAATCTCTTATTGACTGATAAGAATTAGTATTGTCATTAAGGCTTGATAGCTATTTATAGTGTTTCCAAGAAGACAAACACAAGAGATACAGAGAAGTAGTTATAAGTGCAATTCTTTCAAAGCAGAGCAAGTAAAAAAATGATTACCACAATAAATTATTACTCTGGGATATACCAACTGTTCTCAGTAAGGCAAACTGACAAGGAAACTAGTTTTCCTTGTTTGTTTTTTTAAGAAAAGGTAATTCATTTTTGGTTTTTTTTTTAAAGGGGTAAATTTTAGGGATTAAAATATTTTATTTTATGGAAAGAACAAGAAGTAAATCTTGACATTTCACAATGTATTTGGCTACATAGATTCTCTACAAGAAATGTGTATAAAATGTAACCAGACAACACTTAGTTTTAAAGTGGCCATTGCATTAATCATAAATGTAAAGCTGGTATTCGTGATTCTTACCTGCAGTGGACTGAAATGGGTCCATCTTGACCAAACTGCTCCTTTGTTTTATGAACTTGGCCGATGAAGTCAATAAATCCTTCTCCAGACTTTGGCACTCCTTGTTCTGGCCAGTCAGTGAACTGGAACTGCCTCACTGTTCGGGACTGGCCGTCCTTTAGAGGGAAAGCCACATACCCGGCCACAGGAGCGGGTGCCAGGAGGATTCAGCAAGCATGCAGACCACAAGAGCAATAATAATATATATACACATAGTTTGTTTGTTTGTTTGCCAAAAAGGAAATGGGTAGAAAAAGTTAGGAAATCATTCAATTGGAAAGTTAACTCTGTGTGTCTTATCTGCTCCTAACAGTGTCTATGTTCATATCTATTTAAATTATGAGTATATTCACTGCAATGCCCTGTCAAAGAGCTAACTTTTCTGCTAGAACTTTGTAGCTATTGACTCTTAGCAAATGCTTTTGAGACCCAATGGATCATGTCTCCATTCTTTCTAAAATAGGACATAGATACTCTAATTTAGAAACAATAACTTCATGTTGAAAGGAGTATCTGGGCATATCATCTAGCCCAGAGGTTTTGATAACTTCACCGCTGCCATGCCTGCTTATTTCTGGCATTGTCAAATGACAAATGGTGATATTTAAAGGAATCGACATAGACCGCTCGTTGCTTTTAACCTAGATGCCCTATATGTGTCAGAGGTATGCAGCATCTACGCATGCCAGGACATACAGCATGTGCCACGTGATGATAATGCAACAGAAAGTGAAACACCCCTGAAGGAGATCAAAGATATTTTTTTGGAAATAAATGCCCTCTGCTGTAAAAAAAGGTTTTCTGGCTGACCATGGGAACTTAGTACACCAGAGGAGGCTTTTACACAAACAACCCAAAGGGCAGGGGGAAAAAAAAAAGAAATAAAACAAACCAAGACAGATATAAGAGGAATTTTTCTTTTCTAAAGTGACCAGGTAAAATTGCTCTGACTCAGGAAATATAATGGTATAAAAGAAGATAACTGAGGCACTTCTGATTCAGGAATTTTTTTTGAAACACAGGAAGAGCTAAAGGAACCTTTTCTTTCCAAAATCAGAGATAACAACAGTGCCCATCTAATTTCTCCTTTGACAAATCAGAGAAAAGGGACAGCCAAACTGCTTCTTTCGCTAGAGGAATCATCCTTTTTTTCCCCCGCCCTTGTTAACATCCTTTCTCTTTCAATATCTTTTTTAGAGACAGGCATGCAAATTCCCAATGTCACGGTCTGAGACTCAATCTGTCTCAACCACTAACATTAAGAAGATAGGTGGGCTCAGTTTAAGATTAACATTTATGAACTAGCCTAGTGTCTCTCAGGGTCTCAAGGTAGATTCCTGACTAACATCATTTGGGGATGGAGATAAAATAGGAAGATCACACCATTTTTTTTTTTTTGACAAACGGGTACAGAAATAACTATCCCTAAAATCAACTTCTGTATGGTTACTATGGAAGCATGATTTACTTTCCTTGACTCCTGGAAAAGGTTTGGAAAGCACAGAAAAGAGAGCCAAAGGCTAGGTAATGAAGATTGGTTCAATCCAAAAGTCCTGGAGATTCCATTTCTGAAATCTTACTTTTAGTCACAAGAAGAGTCAGGTGTTCACACTCTACTTTTTAGAGGAGAGATGACTGCCTGACTTCATTTACAGGTTATTTGTTTAAGAACACTGAAGTCTCCAGTGCCAAGTTGCTTTCTAAACCGAGGAGACTAGATTAGAAGCACAGCAGGAACACAAACAGTAGGTGTTTGTGGTAGCTAAGAAAATGATATAAGCATGGGGAAATTAAAAAAAAAAAAAATATATATATATATATATATATATATAATGTGAATAAGTTTCAGCTTTTGGCTTATTATGGTCAGTTTTAATTTGGTAATAGTGGGTGTCGTAAAGGTGATATCCTATACTGGTAGAGTTTGTCTTTTAGTCTCTGTCATCAGAAATACTTGTTGAGTTTATTTCTAGGGCACTTAAAAGTTGCATTCACATACTTAACTTCAAATGCTGAAAGGATATTTTAAAGAACAAAAACAAATTCAAAAGAACCAAAACAAAAATAAGAGGGCAGATAACTAAGGCATGCTTGCTTGGAAAACTAAAAAATGAGACCTAGGAACTTAATGGCTATCTTGAGTGCAGTCACCTTTAGGGTAGTTAATATTTTAGACTTTCTAGGATTAACAGGCTTGTCACCTGGGCCAAGGCTTTCATTAACCACTTTCTCTCTCTCTTTAAGTCAATAGCCAGAGTCAGGCTTTGGGGATTAGCAGAAAATGTACAAACACGAGTTTAGAGAAAGCTACTTTCCAGCAAAAACAATGGATACAGCCCATGGCTCTATCTTCAAGTTTTATTCAACCCACCCACTGTGACAGTTCCCAAAGTAAAGCAGGACTTTGATGTAATCCAGTTGCCCCTAAGATGTGTTTGTCATTACTGTCTGAGAGTTGCCAAAGGCAAAGATATTAAAGTGTATGCATAGAACATCTTACATCAGGGCTGAACCTTGGGCTTGGCAATCTTGATAAGCAACACAGAATGAAAATTAGCCAGCTGGGGTCATGGGTGCACAGCTCTCATAGACAGACACATTAGCACAAGGAGGAATAAACTATGCCAGGAATCAAATTAGAATGTGCAAAGCTTGTCAGATTCTTGTAAGGAATGCCATTTGCAATGCAGTTTTAAAATCATACCAAATTAACCTCTAAGCCCACATGACCTAAAGGGCTTTGCAAACCAACAACATATTTACAGCCTCAAGTAATGAAGAAAAAAAAAAGACCTCCAAAGAAAACTGAGCTGAGAAGGTGAATGTAAGCATAGCCAACCAATCACATAAATGCTTCCCAGCACAAACACTCACCAATACATCCCCAAAGTTGCACTGCCAGATGTTATGTTTGAATGGAAGCCAAATCTGGGTTTCTGAGCAGGCTTGCCAGACAGAGGAAATTTGTTCTTATATTTTTAAAATAATGTCATCCAAAATGGGTGATTTCTTTTCTCTTTGGGAGTATGGTCACTTGGCAAATGCCTTTCCCAGCAAAGTATATTTTAAACTAATTTAGCTAATGATTAAGAGCTGAAGATTGTGCCAACTTACCCTGGCATCTGTGACCTTGAATTCCCTTAGGATATATTGTGGCATGTTATATTCAGCCATAGGATCTACAACAAAATACTGATATCTTGCTGAACGCTCAGCTGGCCAGTATTGGTGACATTTCTCCTAAAAAAAGAGATTAATGATAAACTACATAATGTACACATAAGATTTTGTTCATCATCTATCTAAATTCTTTCTCTCACTGATAAAAAATTACGATTCAAGGTAATTCCAACTGCATGTGACTCACCTTTTCTTTGAAACCCTAAATTTCCTGAGGCTGAGGTAGCCCTGGAGTTTAATGTTTGCTCATGGTATCCAGCACAGAACCTGGCATGTAGTAACTACTTGATAAACATCAGTTGAAGTGAATACTTTAATAGGGTGGATGTTTTCATGTCTTTAGAGTTATTCACAGAATTACATTAGTCCTTGGGAAAGGCTGACCATTTAAGTTCTATAATGCACCAATAAAGCAGGCTTGTAACATTGTGGTTTGGAATGAAGAGAAACATCAATGTAAAAAGAATGCAGAAAGAAATCTCAGAATTAATCCAGTCTCATTTGTAGATTGAGGAGATTGGAATCCAAGCAGGTTTAGTGACTTAAGTAATCCCTACAGAGAGTTAGCTGCCAAGTTACAATAGTTATTTTCCTAGTCCAATATTCTTTTTTTTTTTTTGGTCCATGGTGGGGCTTAAACTCTGGGCCTGTGTGCTGTCCCTCAGTTCTTCAGCTGAAGGTTAATGCTCTACCACTTGAGCCACAGCTCCACTTCTGGCTTTTTTTGCTTATGTGGTGCTGAGGAATTGAACCCAGGGCCTCATGCATGCAAGGCAAGGATTCTACCACTGAGTCACATACCCAGCCTCCCTAGTATAATATTCTTTTTAAAAATATTGTTGTAACAGTTGCAGCTTAGTTATTCCTATATCAATTTCCACAAAAGAGAGGAAAAATATAACTCCAGGAAATGTTTGCAAAATGTTTGTTTGTATTGAATTTAAGTGGTAGGTCCACTGGAAACTCTAATCTTCTACTTCATGAATATTTCAGTAACATTCATTTTGTGAAGCATATTTTTAAAGTCACTGGGTACTAATGACCCATGACTATAACCCTAGCTTCATAGGAGAATTAAATCTAAGGATCTCTGTTCAAAGCCTACCAGACAGGAAAAGTCCATGAGACTCTTGTCTCTAATTAAGCACCAAAAAAAAAAAAAAAGCTGAAAGTAGAGCTGTGGCTCATGTGTCAGTGATAGATAGCCTTGAGCAAAAAAAAAAATAAAAACAAAAAAAAGAGCTCAGAAATAGCACTCAGGCCCTGAGTTCAAGCACCAGGACCAGGACTGAAAAATATTCCTAAAGAAGATCTACAATTACATGATTATTCTTAGAAAAACTATGTGAATTTCCAACACATTATTCAATAGACCTGAGAGGTAGGGAAGTGAAAATTTCCCTCAGGAAAGGAAAAGAACTAAGTTCTTTCAGACAGAGAAATGACAGCACATGGACTCAATGAACGCTAGCCTACCCAGCAAAAAAGGAAACAAGAATATGTTAAGAAAGCCAAATAAACACCTGCTGACCCATTTGTCTCTAGTATTGTGTTTCTTTGGACAGAAAAATGGCCAAAACTATTCTCAACTGAAAGAACTTGATGTGACTTTGCAAATTAGAAACCAATCAATTATGAATGGTCAAGACCATGTGGGAGCACTCTGTAGCTCAAGAAAACGTTAGTTATGAAAATAAAAAACCTGTTTCTTTCAGTGCTCACACATCTTATGAGCAGATACACTTACTCTGCCCATTTCACGCAGCTTGGTTAGCATCACGACGATGGTGGAGTTGTGTTCCCAGAGCATCCGCCAAAAGTCTTCAGTGGTTTCTGCCAAGGGTCCTTGGGTAGCAATGTAGGCCTTCTGTTGTCTGAATTACAGAGAGTGGAAAAAGTATGTTAAAAATTTTGAGGACATGCAAGAGCCCCCATTTGATATGTCAAAATCAAACCTGACAATAGAAAAATAAGCATTATTAATTGCACCTGAAGGAAGCTCCCATTAAGATTACATAACCAAATAAGAGCATTTAATACATTAGAACACTTTTCAAAATAAATATTAGCTACATAATATTGTTAATGTAATTATTACATATTATTATAATGTCTTTTTCATTACTAAATTTTAGTACAACACTAATAACTCAATTTCATGTATAACTCAAGTTCATGTGTCATACAAATCACATAAGCAGTTTATTTCTAGAAATTATGCTCATAAAAATATTAGATTTATGAAATATGGTATGAAATAGCTTTTTTATTAACTCCTTCCAAATGAACATTGGTTCTGATGTGTGTGTGTGTGTGTGTGTGTGTGTATGCTGGTATCCTACTATGTGAGACACACTTGCTTCTAGTTTTGGGTGGTTAATTGGAGGTAAGACTCTATGGATTGTCTTTGAACTTGATCCTCAGATCTCAGCCTCTTGAGCAGCTAGGATTACAGACATGAGCCACTGGGGCTTGGTGACCAGAAATAAGACTGTAGGTGATGTAAAAATCTCCGTAACTAGTGTGTCTTACTCCTATCCAAAATAAAAATAATATAAAAATACCAAGGGACTGAATGCTGACCTAGACAGAAACAAAATGGCTTTGAATTGAAATGAAATTTTTCTGGTTATGAAACTAGGGCACATGCAAATATCAAGGCTTTGGACTGTCAAGAAAGCAAGACTAAATACCTGTATCCATCAATAAAACTGGCATTGATGTAATCAGATCCTTCTACTCCTCGGATAGGCTGTAGGCATACCCTTGTGGATTCATATGGCATAATATTAACAAGGCGATTTTTGAATTTATTACATGGAAGATTGGCACTGATGAATCTTGAGGTGTGAGCTTTTGAGCTGGCTAGACGCTGTTGAAAACAAGAAAAGAATAATTTGACAAAGATAATTTTAGCCAATGGCTTGAATGCAATATACCCAAATATCTTTTTTTAAGATATAAACCTTTTATTTATTTTAAAGTATTCAAACTGCATTGATTTTTCCTTCTAAGTATTCATAGAGTTTATTGAGTTTTAAAATATGTTCTGACAGTATGACCTCTCAATTTAAATTAGGACACAAAAGGGCCCAAGGCATTGTTCAAAAAAAGCAAAGATAGAGTTGGCAACAGAAGAAGCAAGTTTTATAATCAGGTATTTGAAAAGAAGGTCTGATTATGAAACTTGTATTTCAAAGTTTTAGGAAAGCAAAGCCACTACTCAGGCAGTCCCAGAATGATACATTCAGCTCCTGAGTATCTAGATTTCATCCAATGCCATACCTTAAATTCAAGCTCCATTCCTGTGACATTCTCCCCTGTTTCTATTTGTGTCAGCTTCTGAATGTAGGCATACAAATTTCTAGCTGGCACTTCGGTATTTCCACAAGTCACTGCTTCTAACAGTGCATCATGGATAAAGATGTACTGGTCTTCTGTTTGAACCATGTAATTCCTCTGGGCTCTCATTAAGGTTACATGGCCATAAATATCTACAGTTTTTTCATGCTTTATTCTTTCTAACATGGCATCTATTACGATGAAACAACCAGTCCGGCCAACTCCCGCACTGTAGGGGAAACAGAAAAGAAAAAGCCCATGTAATATTATGAAGACATCAGTAGGTACTACAAGTTTTATTTCTTATTAACCAGTTTATATACCAATTTATTCTATTTATAAAGGTATTATGATGATTGTTCATCACTCACATAAGATTTTATTTTCTTGCAATGCTGAAAGTAATCTGATCAGGACCTTGCACATGCTGAGTAAGTACTCTACCACTAATTTCACTAATCTACATCTTCAACTTGATTTTTGCCTACACAAGTGAAAACAGGTGTTTTGTGTGTGTGTGTATATGTGTGTGTGGGCGCGCACGCTTTCTGTCTCTGTCTCTCTCTTTCTGGGACTTAAACTCGAATTCATGACCTAGGTGTTAAGCCATTCTACCACTTGAGCCACATCCATTTCCAGCTTTTGGTTGGTTAACTTGAGATAAGAATCTCAGGGACTTTCCTGTCATGTTTAGCTTCTGGAATTTCTAGATCTCAGCCTCCTAAGTAGCTAGGATTATAGGCATAAGCCAAGCTCAAGCCTAGTCAAACCATATTTTTAAGGCACCATAATGTACAGAAAAAATAGTAAAATGAGTTTTACTTCATAAAGTAGAAATATTAAATCTATAACTACTATGATTCTTAATCATGTTATAAAATTGATATTATTTTGAAAGCATCATGAAAAAATGCATTTAGGCTATTATACTCAGAAGCTAATTTTTTAAAGGATTGGTCAATATCTAAGATAATTAGACAATTATGGCAAACCTCAGCATATTTTAGTTTAATTTATTATAATAATAAAGACAAGCAATCTAGTAGATCTTTCAAGTGAAAACATTTCATATTCTAAAACTCACTAAACAGTTCTAAAGGCAGCCTAGTGGGATATTTATAATTAAAACATTAAAATGTTGGTACAAATTTTCAAAAGTTCTGCATATTCTTAAAGGAATTCTTAAGAAAAAGCAATCAGCATAGGGTAGATTCTTGAATTTATTCCCTTTCTTTTCCAAGCAGAAAGGAAATTCCAGGTGAAATTTAGGTATTTTGTGTAGAGCAAAAAGGAGGTCTCAGTCTCTGTTACTAAAAAAGCTTCAAGGCATTTTTCAAAATCCATTATTTGGAGACATATGGGTCATTTTCCAGTTGGTAGAAACAAATTCTAAGAAGAGGAGATGAGTCAACAAAGAACAATGGCTAGACAAGATCTTGGTGTTCCAAGGAGACAATCTAATTTAGTGAACTGGATTAGAATCAGGTGTTAGAAACACTGAAATATCCTCTAGGGTTGAAAAGGATACCAAGAAAACAACACATCTGTGCACTGACAATCTAAAAGTAAGCCTTATATGTTTCTACTTACCCATTTTTTTTCAGGCTGAAAGGTTTATGTTTCAAGAATGGTTCAGCCCAAAACACTTTTCTTTTTTAATACCTATTTACCAGTCAGGTAACCATGTAATCCACAGGGACAGGTACATATCACCACCTTGATACCAAATCGCAGGGGTCCACCTTCATTCTCTACAAATCACTGTATATCTCTGTGCTCATTAATTAGTCTGACCAACCACAAGACGATCTACCTCTTCAGCCAATAAACAATCATATACTTTGCTAAGTGAAATAGGCGACATCAATAAAGATGACTTTAATCTTACCTTTAAAGATCTGAGAGTCTAACAAATGATGTAATACTCTACATAACTGTCTAATACAAGAAATCAATTGATGTGTTGATTTTGGAATTGAAGGATGGAGAACGTAGGATGTTCATAAAACCAAAATGAAGTTATGATTTTGTAATTGTACTTCTGGCTCTGGGAGATGCATTTTTTACAGGTGTAATTTTCATGGGTGTAATTTTTCATAGGCCTGGCAGAGTACCTGTGCAAGAAAAACACCAGCACTCTAAAATGAGTGCACCAGGGTACTTGTCTCAAATGAAATGAGAATTTCTCTGATGACACCTACTTGAAAGGTAGTGTGAGAACATCTGTTAAAATAAAACAATATTTATTTAATTACTGAACACTGTAAATAAAATTCATCTTTCATAAAGTGACTTGTGGTTTATAGATATGAGCAGTGGCTATTAGCACTATTTTAAAACTGCTTAGGGCTTTATGTCTTATGCCAAAGGCCTCCTGGATACTAAGGCTCCATTTAAGGTTTAAATCTGCAAACTGATATGACTTTGAGATATTTGAAACAGCCTTCTTGGTACATGCTCTTAGTAATAATAGCATCTCCCTCAGCACAAAACCAGTAAGAAAACCGATGTATGCTGAATACAAAGCCCAGTAAACCCAGGGTTCCAAAGGAGCCATGAGGCTTTATTTCACATCTTTTACCAAATCCAGTCCTTTATTACTTTAATATTCCTTTATTCTGCTTGCTAGGATGGTCAGTTACTCTGTCATTCTCCATCTTCACTCTTCCAGTTGGGCTATTCACCTGTTTCTCCAGATTCTTTTTACAGCAAACACCTTTACCCTATAACCCTAGAAAAACTAATCACTCATGAACTAATCACTCATGCTAATCACTTATGAACAACTGTACTTCTTGGCAATAGAAACTGGATAAAAGCCCTCATACTAAGTGTAAACATTCATTAATGGTTGTGGGATGAATTAGTGATTGGCAAGAGGTATTATACAATATTCAACCCACCTAGATAAGTTAATCATATGTAGGAGTCAGGAATCCTTAGTTTGTGAATGTAATCCTAAATTTGACACAGCTTTGGACTATGCAGGGGAAATCTAAGTATTTACGATGAAAAAAAAAAAACTTGAAGTAGTTTCTGTGTCTTGTTCTGATATGCAGCTAGACTGCAGTCAAAATAATCCAAATAAGATTAATTTGCAAAGAGTTCACTTTTCTGGTATCCTTTCAAATTCCATTTTGGCAAGTTCTAAGATTATGAATAACAACTTTTCATTTTTTTCTATGTTGTCTTTCTAAATCAGCTTCATTTTAATGGGGCATGACACCTATTTAGATACTACATGCTGCTCTTCTGAATGGATATCACACCATAAGAATCACACAAGGCTACATATCAAGTCAATTCTAGGTAATAGCAGGGGTATTTTCCTAAACCATGCATCTGGGACCATTCAAATGTCTGCTTGATGCATGGTATAGTGTGGCATCTCCCTCAGAATCTTGAAAAATAGGTATAAATAACTCCAACTATAAACCATATTACTTTTTATATTAACAGTATATATCCTCAAACAATGAAGGAGGAACACAATTCAAATAGGTACCCAAACCTGAGGGAAGAAAAGAGGCAAAACAAGAGAGGCTAAGGCTTGAATAATACCTATTTTCCCCACACAAAGCACAAAACACTTGTTTTGCCCCCTCTTTCCATTGTTTATTCCCCACTCTTTCATTCCTCTCCAAGAAGGGGAAGGAGCTGGCCCTTGGAATTGATCTGTTGTCTCTTCTCTAGGGTGAAAAGGATTTTCTTGGGTTTAAGGTGACCTTGAGAAAGTTACTTAACCTTTTTTTCTTATTAAATCTGATAACAACAATTAACTCTAGTTGATTAGGGAGTTTAATTATCTAGTAAATCTTAAGGTTGAGTTGAAGATATCAAGGGCTCTGCAAAAATGAAGAAAGAGGTAGTCACATTTTATAGGTATGAACTCCATTTTTCAAAACTAGCTCTGACATTAACAACAAGCAGCTGGCATTACTTGGAAAATAATGATGAAGTCACTTATGGTTCATTTGAGATTTGGCTTTTAAAATCCTGATTTGCTCTACCTCATTTAACCTACTTTCCCCCTTTTCCAATCAACAAATAATAGCTTTCATTCAAGCAACTTTTACATTATCATGGGAAACAAACTGGCAGTCAAGAGCCTTTCTACCAGAGTGCTTGTTGCCCTGGTGGTATTCAGGAAATGCTGGTCTCCTTTCTCTTCTTGTGTATATAAAATTTAGGTTTTTCCTGAAGTGAAATGCAGGTTCTGAGACACCTCACTTTAACATGACCTTCTATAGTGTTATTAGGCTTTCTGCCATTTGGGACTGCAGGAATGTCCAGATATGATGAACTTGTTCTAGTCCACTGCTCTGGAACATACTTGGAGCTCCATTTGACTAACCATAGGGCAAAGAGTCCTTCTTTCCTGTTCTGGAAGGGGGAAGTATGGGAAACATTAGAGAACCTCTTGTGCATGACTGTATGAAGGGAGGAGACTTTAAAACCAATCCTAAGCAAAAAAAAAAAAAAAAAAAAAAATCCCAAATATGTAGTACATGAAACCCACTAAAAAGAATCGTGTCATGGTTCTATAGATTCTGAGTGTAGAATTCCTATTATGTTAGAAATGAAGCAACAAAGATAAACTCTACATGTCATCTCCTCAGATCCACTGGCACCCCTTTAAACCATGGTTCCGTATGTGTGTTTGGTTTATGTCACTGTGATGAAATACTTGAGAAAATAACCTAAGAGGAAGAAGGCTGAGATTTGGTTCACATTTTCCATTCTATCAGGATGTGGAAGGCATGGTGGAACACAGCAGAGTTTGGGGGAGGGAGGGAGAAAAGGAGGGAGGGAAGGAGAAACACAGGGGAGCTAGGCAGGGAGGGAGAGAGAGACCTCTCCTCCTTTTATTCCATGCCTGCTGCATTTGGGCTTTCTGTATATAGTTAATCATCCTCTCTGGGCCCACAGAAACACCTAGCAGTGTGCTTTGCTATCTCTCGCAACCCAATCAAGTTGATAATCAATCATCACAGCATGTATTTTTAAAAAATTGATCCTTGTGCTCATTATCTATCTGCCGTTCTACATTGTTCATGTATGTCTCTGCTTACACACTGCTGCCAGTCTTTCAAATATAGATAAGACCCCCAACTTTCCATCTTTCATTCTCTTTCTGATTCATTAGTGACATTCCAAACACATGCTTTTGAAAAAGATGACTTTTTCTTGGAGTACAAATGGAGACCTACATTTTAAATAATCTTATTT